TGAGAATCTTGTTGCGATACAAAGAAGAAAAACAAATCTAAAACTAAACAAGCCGATCTACGTTGGAGCTTCAGTGTTAGATTTATCAAAGTGGCTGATGTATGATTTTCATTATAATTTTGTTAAAAATCAATGGCCGGCTAGTAGATTATTATTTACTGATACTGATTCGCTCGTATATGAAATTGAATGCGAGGACGTCTATCAGGACATGCATGATAATAGATATCTGTTTGATCTTTCTGATTACCCACGTGACAGTAAATTTCATGACGACACAAATAAAAAGGTTATTGGTAAGTTCAAAGATGAAATGAACTCGAGCGCTATCAAATACTTTATCGGATTACGTAGTAAAATGTATGCCGTATTGTTAGACAATAATAAAATAACAAAAAAAGCAAAAGGTCTGCCTCGTGATTTTGTTAAAAAGTTTATAAAATTTGATGACTACAAGTACGCGCTTGATGGCGGTGTTAGTTTTATAAGAGCTATGTCAATTCGGACAAATCATCATAAGCTCGAAACAGATGTCCTTATCAAACGCGGTTTGAGCAATTTTGATGATAAACGTTATTGCGAAAATGGGGTAGATACATTTGCACTTGGGTATTGTCATGATGATAGAGATATATTTGACATTATCTTTGCAAACTAAAATTTTATCTAAACTTAAGAAATAATGTTTGAAAATTTGACAGTGACAAATAGCTACAGTAGCAAAATCAAATATCTAATGATGGACGGCAAACCATTGACAGTTGAAATTAATAATGAAACATCAGGCATATGCTTTAGTGGTACCCGTGACAAGTTAAAACTTTCGCTCATCAGATCTGATGACAGCGAGTATTTTAATTATCTCGAACAATTGTATCAAAAGTTGCTAGCGGAATTTAACAACTTTCACTGTCCGATTAGTCAGCAAAAATACACCAAACTTACAATTGATCTTGATCGGTCAAAGTTGTATTTTATCGACAAAAAATACCCTCTTAACAAATCACAAATAAAAGATTTGTTTGAGTCCCGTCGTTATGTGAGCGGTAAAATAAAGTTTAGCCTCTATCACCATGATAATGAAATATTTTTGATATCTACAGTTGAGACATTAACAGTTGGTAATGAGGTATAAAATAATATCATTTTCATTCTAATGCTAGTTTAATTTCCGTCTTGTTAACTGAAACGTTCTAATGCACAGTTTAATTTTCATCCTGTTATCTGATAAAAAATTTGTGGTAAAATCTATTTGCCGTCTTTAGAATAATCATATTCCACACATACGCTGTTCTAACAAATTCGTCACTTCTGTTGACAGAGCTTATCGCATTCCAACACCTGTTGTTTTGTCTGGTTACAAAATACCTGTCTACATAGTAGTAGTAGAGGGAAATGAGGGTTTCATCACACTTTATCTTTTTAGCCTCCAAACAAGTATAAATTATAGTCCTAAATTATCCCCTACTACCCTTTTTCCAAAATAGTGAAATGAGGGTTTGGCGGGGGTGGGGGAGGGGGAGGGTGGCGGTGGGCCAAAACCATCATTTCACTATTTTGGAAAAAGGGGTGGGGGATAATTTAGGACTATAATTTATACTTGTTTGGAGGGTAAAAAGATAAAGTGGGTCAAAACCCTCATTTCCTTCTACTACTTGAGTTACCCATACAAACGATCTGGAACAATTTTCCAGATCGTGAGTCACAATATCGCCATGACACTACTTGTAATTCTCTGAAGCGGGTCCTATTCAATTACATCGGAATGATGTTTAATGATCTCAGGTTCTAGGATAATGCAGTATTTGGCAAAATCTGGAGGACATTCAACAAATTTAAAAGGAAACTTTGAATAGCAAAATAAATCGGTGATATATTAAGACCAAGAACAGCTATAATCATCGAAATAGCATTTCCATGTTTAAGGAAGAAAGTCCACATTCTTTAAGTCAGAGGTATATTTTGCCAGACGCGTTCCAGAGATTCTTTCACTAGAGTAAGATATGTGTTTATAATTTTGCTTAATGGTACTAATATTTTTTTATGTCAGACTTTAGCTTAAACTATTAACTTCTATTTTCATTCTGTTTACTGGATTCATTACGAAAAGTCGATGGTTGACTATTTCCTCTATGAGGCATATCATTTCTTTCTCCAGGCATTTGATAAATTGGACTAGCACGTCTTGCCCTCATTACGTTACAGCTTATCTATATCGGTGGGCTGTTGCAACTACACCTTGGTTTTTATAAGCAAGGAATCCCGGACCGTTCCGGACGATGGAATGCCTCGATATGTGTTCATTGAGTTTAATAAACTTTTTTCCTGTCTCTCGTGTACTCGCAAGGATAGATTCATTTACGAGTGAGAAAACTGAACTTCATTGTGTCAGTAGGAAAAGCACCACCCTATCGACAGGGTTGCTCATTAGTTTATCAAAATCGGAATTCATAAACTTAGGAGAGACAGTGAACTGCGTACAGTTTGCCGAGCCAAAAACGTCATATTTTTTCATGCTGTATTGGATTACAATTATTGGTACATTCAATAGTGTTGTGGTTGATTCAACTCTTAAGTGGCTGAAGCACAGCAAGAGTTCTCGTTTTGTTTGAATAAATTCGTAACTGTAGCTTGCAAAGCTGTTGCAGTCCGTCTATACTAACAAGTGATGGGTCAGTGGACACAAACTTTTTAACCGATAGAACTGGAAGGTTCGTTGTAGATACGGCTGCGAGTGCCTGTGGAAACTCGCTAATATTTATCTTTAGTCATAATCATATAAGACAACGAGGATTTTTGTTGTCTGATTCATTTCGCCGATATTAAATTGGTGGCTTATTCAATTCATTATATCTAACTACAGTGAAGCAAAACCCGCAAGGGACTTTAAAGTTACCTGCATCGTATTTAACCGAACCATGGGTACGTCAAAGAATTCAAACATTCTAAGTACGAGAAGATAATATACGGAATTTTCATTTTACATTGCAAAACTGTAAATATTACAAAGTTTTTGTCAGGTTCTGTCATTATTGTCCGCTGTGGTTTCTAACTCATTCCACCAGAGCAAAACTCAAATTCCGCGGCAAAATTAGGGTGTGCTAAACACATGTAGTGTACCTAACTATAGCAAAACTCATCATCTGCGACAATTATGTTGTGCTAAACACATGTGGTGTACCTAACTTCAGGCGTATGCTCTCCTCACTGAATTTTATAAGGCTGAGAAAACGCTCTCATTTGATTCTACAAATATTTACTGTAAAATAGGTTTCATTTATGATAAAAATTCTAAACTTGGGGAAGTTAGTAGTAAACAAACCTAGGATTAAAAAGCCAAATAGCCTTTCGTGCTTAAATTAAATTTTCTTCAATTATTATTTTGCCTTATCACTGCATGCTGACCAAAATAAAGTATAGCTCTGACTCGTAAATTTTCTCTGCTTGTGCAATGATATCCGATGACATCGAATTTCTTGTACCGCTTGTATAGTGATTCCAGTTTCTTCGGTTGGCTTTGCATCTTTTCGCAAATCTCTTGACATGGATTCCATCAATTAGACTCTTTATGTTGCAAATATTTCTCATACCTATTATGTTGTAGATATTTCTCATACCTATCTAAAACTGTCGTTATTATTTCCACATATTATAACGAGGAAGTTCTCTGTCTAATTAAGCTAACCTTGTAGATTTTCACTGCTACTAACATGTTCACTAATTGTTTCAATATCACATGTGATTTCGCTACTTGTTTCATTATTTACACTGGATGGTCTATTCGACGTCAGCAACTGAAACATATTTTTTACAATATTGTAAAACGAATTTTCTGTTTTATTTTGTTATAAGCTTGACTGTGTCTACGTCATTGTACTTCCAATACGATCAACAAGTCTGTCGAGAAACTCCGGATATGTATTTAATAATCATACATCTTTTGGACTCTTTGATAAATCTGTATGATGCATTTAAGCAAATAAAGATATTATATTTTCTATAAACATTCCATTGAACAGACAATGTGATTCCACACACACACACACACACACACACAAACACACACACACACACACACACACACACACACACACACACACTGGTAATACTCTTTGATCTCAGGCATTCTCAACGAAATATATTTTATCTCGGTACGACAGCTTTGATCTCAGGCATTCTCAACGAAATATATTTTATCTCGGTACGACAGCCTAAGTATTTTCACATAATCTCCGGATAAATAGATTGTTTAGAAAATTATCCACAAACAATATAAAATATTCTCTCATAAAGAAAACAATACCAGCAGAATATTATATATACAGTATAATCAAGATCGGTAATCTTATTCCTGTAGTGTTGTGTTCTCACACGAAAGGAATCTGTAAAATAAATACATTATATGCAGTATAGTTCCAGTCAATAATTATATCTCGGCTTGAGTATGGCACCTAGTTTAATAACTTTGATTGTTTGCGACCGCAGGGGTTTGGTGGACTTGCCACAAGTTCGGAAAGGGGATGGGCCTTACCACAGGTTCTTGCAATTACGTAAATGATACACTTGCATTTCATTAAAGAGTAAAGTCATGAGACTTTAACCTTCAGCTAAAGAAAATTTATAAATCCCCATAATGATTCTACATAATGCAACATTAACACTGTTAGAATGTTCATTATCATTAAACGTCTCATGTACAGTTGTCATCACTGATATCCAGTAGTAGTGTTATCATAATGTGTGCATATTTACGACAAAAACAGACTTTTTGTCATAAATTTTACAGTTAAATCAGCAGCCAATACGTTTAGAAGTTTCTATATCATGGCAAATATAGCAGATAAGCAATTCTCCTTTCAACACAAATTTTAGTTTCCTTTAATTAAATCAAGATCTTATGTTTTGTAACTTGTGTACAGTAATAACAATGAAAATAAATTGAAATAAAGCTTCTCTGTAACTTCACGTATTTTGTGCTTCATTACTTTTCATCGCCGACTGTTCCAGTAGCCTAGTGGTTAAGGCATCCGCCTCGGATGCAGGAGGTCGCTGGTACGAGCCGAATCAAACCAAAAACTTATTATAACTATGGTAGTAACTGCTGCCCCGCTAGGTGTTTAGCATTAAAAGGTTAATGTTAGGAAACATAGCTAAAGCTATGTGAAATTCTAAATCACACACATACACGCTCACATATTTTGACTACAAATATGGGGTGCTACAATACAATACAGGAGGGAGTACAACAACAACAACGATGGCGTCCAACGCTGAAGTAGCGGATATAACTGTTAAATGGAGTGGTCAGGAGTACAAGATAAGTGGTCTCAGTGGAGACAAGACAGTAGGCGACCTGAAGGAAGCAATACAGAAACAGACAGGAGTGCTTACAGATCGTCAGAAACTTCTAGGCCTGAAATTTAAAGGTTATAAGTTACCCACAACCGCGTTATATATAACCAATTTTCGAGGTTGCATATTTGGTTAAAAAATTACATCTCACCACAGGAGTCTAAAGTTTTATCAATAAAGTACAATTAAATTCTGTGCAACACGAAATCGCCTTATCGGTGCTATAAAATGACACAAGGAGTGCAAGCGTGACCACAGCCCTCCGCTGCTGGAACATATGCACATGTCATCCTGCATTTGAAAAATTCAGATGTGAAAATGATAACAAATTACAGAAAGCTGGCGATATTTATTGTACTGGAACTGTTTAACTGTCAAAAGATTTAATCTTTTTGGCGACATTGATTATGAAAAGAAATGCTAGGAGCCTACCTTGTGTCACTGGGAATGTTGTTCCATATCAGTGGACTAGCATATTGAACAACTTTTTTTTTAACAATTCCTTTATTGGTTTTGATATAATGTAATTTTTACCTATAGACCTTTAATTTGAAGTAGAATCAGCATCTCTTTGGTGAAAGATATTTCTTTGATAGAAAGGAATGGCTTTTTTCTTTTGATACTTTATACATCAGTTTGGCCTTCCTAAGAAATATTCTTTCATGTATTGTTAAAATCTTTATATTATTCATTGCATCCTGGAAATTGTCTATACATTGATCTAGAATTAAATGGCAAGCCCTCTTTTGTAGTCTTAAAAGTGTTGTTATGTATGAATTTGAGGTATTACCCCAAATTACATTACAGTAGTTTAGAAATGGCTGAATATAACATTTATAAATGATAACCCTATCCTGAAGAGGAATGCATGTTTTGATTTTCCTCAGTAGCCAAAGATAAGAATTAACCTTATTTGAAATGTGTTTAATGTGAATAGACCAAATAAGATTGTTATCTATGAATACTCCAATAATTTTATCCTGAGAGGTCAAATATTATATGCAACATGTGGAAAAATCATTTTGAAGACTTACTCAATAGTGTTAAAAACGAATCAAATAAGAAGCATGTTACTTCAGCATTGAATACCCCTTCTGCTCATATTGAGGTAATCACATTATCTGAGATACAAAATGCAATAAGACAAAAAGGTGGTAAATGTCCAGGATCAGATTTTTTATATGTGGAACATTTTAAATATTCAGATACTAGACTTCATGGGCTATTAATGGTTTTATTTAATTGTATGTTTGTGCATAACTTTGTACCAGATGATTTCACAAACGTTACAATTATACCGCTACTAAAAAGCAAAGTTGGTAATCTAGCAGACAAAAATAACTACAGACCTATAGCTCTTACGACTATTATCTCAAAACTATTTGAATGCATCATACTACAAAGATGCAAAGTCTTAATCACTGATAATCAGTTTGGATTTAAAAAGCAGCATTCTACAGATTTATGTCTTTATGCCTTTAAGGAAACCGTTAGCTATTATGTGGAACATGGCAGCCCAGTATTTGCAAGTTTTTTAGACGCTAGTAAGGCATTTGATAGAGTCAATCATTGGACACTCTTTAAAAAGTTGCTGGAAATTAAAATTCCTGTATACATTGTTCATACTTTAGTCAACTGGTATGGCAAACAGTTGTATTACGTGCGATGGGGAAGTGTAATATCCAGCGCTTTCCATGTAACCAATGGAGTGAGGCAGGGAGGTATTCTTTCCCCCATGTTATTTAATATTTACATTGACAACTTAAATCGTATATTGGGCCATTGCAACGTAGGGTTATGTCTGCCACCAAATGGGCTGTTTCTTAACAATTTTAGCTTTGCTGATGATATGTCACTGATAAGTCCGTCTGTCGCAGGTTTAAGAAAATTATTGAAGATATGTGAAGAATATGCATTAGAGAATGATATCATCTATAATACACAAAAATCTGTATGCATGGTCTTTCAGCCAACTTCTTTTAAATTATCATCACCTCCCTCTGTACATCTTAACGGCAACGCTCTTACGTATGTCGACAGTTATATGTATTTGGGCCATATTTTGAAATCCAATCGGTCAGATAATGAAGATATGATGAGACATTATCGATATTTGTGTACTCGAACAAACATACTTCTATGCAAATTTAAGCCTTGTTCATTGAGTATCAAAATTAGATTATTCAAATCTTATTGCTGCACTATGTATTGTGCTCCACTGTGGACAAACTTTAGTGAAAATGTGAAAAGAAAACTAGTAATTGGTTATAATAATAGTCTTCGCTTTCTATTAGGTCTTCCTAGATGGAACAGTGCTTCCAACATGTTTGTTAATTATAATGTATTAAGTTTTGAGGAAGTAATGAGAAAGTATGTATATTCAATGATAACGAGACTTTCTAATAGTGAGAACTGTATATTGAAATCACTTTGAAAATATGACATTAATTTAAATTCTCACATTGTTAGTAGATGGAACCAATTACTATTTAAATGTGTCACTTAAATTTCATTTTTTAACAATGCATGGCACAAATAATTGTTGTAAATGTATCTGAATACTTGTACATATGATATGTATATATGTTTTAGTGTATATGTATGTGTGTATGTATATGTGTGTGTGTGTATATATATATATATATATATATATATATATATATATATATATATATATGTGTGTGTGTGTGTGTGTATGTGTATATATATGTATGTGTGTATGTATATATGTATGTATGTGTATGTGTGTATATATGTGTATATATATATATGTATATATGTGTGTATGTGTATATGTTTGTGTGTGTATATATATATATATGTATATGTTTGTATGTATGTATATATGTATGTATATATATATATATATATATATATATATATATATATATATATATATATATATATATATATATATTTTATTTTATGTTTACAATGTTTTACTCTATATCAGTATTTTAATTTAGATGTATGGACTATGCAGTCTGAAATAAAGAATTCTTATCTTATCTTATTATAAGGCTCACATTGTCAAATAGAACCTGGAGTTTGTTGCTATCTAACGTTGCTTGTTTTTGTTGCATTATAACTAGTAGGTCTTTCTTTTTTTTTCTTCTGTATTTATGATCATACTGTTTTCTTTATATCACACTTGAAGTCTGTTGAGAGCATCTTGCAAATTATTTTCAAGTACTGATTTGGTTTTACCCATATCAGTGTTGTATCATATGCATAGAGGTCAATGGAAGAAATTGAACTTCCAATCGTAAGAGGTAAGTCATTGATGAATAGAATGAATAACAGAGGTCCAAGGATAGAGCCCTGTGGTACTCCAATTACTAATTTTACATTCTGAAAGTTGACCATTTAAAGATGCTTTCCGCACTCTATAAGTAAATTAAGAAGTAAACCAGTTTAGGGGTTTTTCCCTACATTGATATATGTTTCGTTTTTCAAGCAAAATGTCATAGTCTACAAGATTAAAAGCTTTATGAAAATCAACCATAGTAGTGCCTACCATTTCTTCTTGATCTAATGCTTTCAGCCATTTATCAATCAAAGATACAAGTGCTGTTTCACAAAAATAATCGAAAGCCAGGCTGATTATCATGAATAACATCATAAGTGTTCAAGTAGTTGAATAAGATCATAAGTGTTCAAGTAGTAATTTGGAGAGATAAGGAAGGATAGAGATGGGACTGTAATTATTTACATAATCTTTTGTTTCTGCTTTATGCAATGGTGTAACCCTGGCAGTTTTCCAGGTTTGTGGAAATTGATTAGACTATACTTTCATTACAAATGAAAGCTATACTCTCTACAATTGCATGTGCAGCTACCTTTAGTAGCCTTGGTCCAATCATATCAAGTCTTGTAGCTTTACAATCATCCAATTTTTAATTATATTTCAACACAGATTCAGGGCTCATTTCAGGAATTTTAAACTTTATATTGTTTGATAGATTTTTTTAACACAAAAATGTTTGAGTTCCAGATGATAAGATGAAGCTCTGGGTACTTTAAGTTTTTTAGCAATTTGAATGAAAAAGTCATTAAAAATATTTGAGATGCCAGTTGGATCATCTATATAAATGCTCTGGTGATTGAGGGATAAAATTTCAATTTTACTATTACATTTTCTTGCACCAAACTCTGCAAATACTTTCCAGATAGCTTTCAGATTATTTTTCATCCAGCACGTTTTTAGTGCTCTCTTTTGGCTTGACATATCATTTTTTAATTTTATTCCGCCAAGCTCTATATTCAGTTTGATTTCCTATTGATTTTAGTTGGTCTCTTTGCTTTATTACTTCTAAAATATTTGCAGAGATCCAGCCTGGCTGGTGATCTTTTTTTATCCTGTGTGCTATTAAAGGGGCATGTTGGCATGTTTGTTCACTACACTGATGAACAGATCTGTCCAAATACAGTCAAACCCACTTATCAAAACCTTGGTTATCTCGAGAACCCATATATGTCAAGCATTTTAGTCCAGTCCCGAAAAAATCCTTCTTTGTTATGCTAATTTTTTCCTGCTTATCTCAACCGATGTTAAGTCAATAACCTGGTTATGTCAGGTATAAGTTTCTGTCCCAAGTAACAGGTGGTCCCGATTAATTTGACCGATATTACCAGTACCTCGTACTGGCAAGGATGGAAAAAGTCGTTACAAGACCAAAATTTACTGGTACAAATGCTAATCAGTTAAGGTGCAGAGTATTCAATA